TATACTGTATATATACCGTATATACCGTAACAAAAATATACATAATAATTTTTTAAGTTACCTTATATAACATAAACAAATATTGTTGTACAGTGGTATTAATATATCTGCAAAATATTCCCATGATGCCCTATCCATAAATTTTTTTTTTCCCTCTTTTAGGCTGATGCAAGATTAAGAGGGTCCGGTCAGGAGCGTTCGGCCCCCGATCGGCCTTTACCAGGCCAGGAGAAGCCCTCCCTCTCTCTCCCATCGTACCTGGGTTCAGCTCATCCCTTCAGCGTGGCCCCGAGTGCTCTGGTGCAGGACCCACGTCTGCAGACCCAGTCAGTACAGCGGCCGTCGCTCAGATACTCACACCTGCACATCCTACAGCGCTCTGTCACTCATCCGCTGTTCCTCTCTCTCAGCTTATCCCGGCAGGTTCCTCATATGCTGCTCTCAGGAGCTCAGGACGAGTTTGTTCGTGATGGCTTTCGCCCGTACACCTCCGCTGATGAGCTGCGTGTGCCTTTAGGGCTCCCTCTAGGGCTCAGCCCAGGAACTGCAGCCGACGCTCTGGCATACTTTCACTCAGGATATTTGCCTCACCCCTCGCTCGCTTCATACAGGTGTGTGCTGTAGTTTTGCTGGTTCTTTCGAATAAACCTTCCTATATTAGACAAGAAAAAAAATTGTGCTGGGTAGTAACTCATTACGTGTAATCTGGATTACGTAATCAGATAAAAAAAATTAAGTACTTGTAATTGGATTACATATTAAAATGGTCATAATCAGATTACAGTTACTTTTTTATGGATTACATTATTAAATATTATTCAGATAACGGCAGTAAATTATTCTTAATTTATTGATTCTCCCTAATTCTTCTTTTTTTTCATCTTTTAAATTTTCCTTTCTTAAAAGTCATGCTGCTTGTCATACCATTTAGCTTGAACTATATACACAAATGTTGTGTAAATAAGATTATGGAAGTCTGGACAACAATATTTCAAACCTGGAAAACTTTGGGAGTGTAATGTATGTCATTGCTGTCCAGTACTTGCAATATTTCGTACTCTATTAAACGTATTATTATTATTATTTTCGTACTATTTTAAACTAGAGTTGCATCTGTCTGTTAACCGTCTCGGTTTGTTGTTCTTCTGCCTCCTCCATCTTGTTTTCAACTGTGAAACAATGACCCAGACAGTGGCGCCACCTTGTGGACAAACTAATTTTCAGTCATTTCAGTAGGAATCTACGCAATCCAGCAAAACATTTCGTAATGCAGATTTCGCATCGGGTTCATTTGGTCATGCATATTCGCCATGTTGCCCTGCAGAATGCTGCTTGGTTTTAAAGCGATATCTGTTTTAGTTGTGCTTTATACATCACTACACCACTGATAATAAACAGTGGACTGTGATGTTGTCATAATTTCAGCTGAAGTATGCTTTAGTTTGGACGCAAATACTTTTGACGCAAAATAGCATACAGCCAAACACACAGCCTTTCAAAGTGTAATCCATGTGTCAGTGTGTGCAAACATAGCCGCTTGACACATAAGCGCTAGAAAAATGTATCCTTGTCCCGTGTTTGTGCTATTTCTCTCCAGAAGTTATAAGCGATAAAAATATCTTTGTACTCTTTAAAACTAGTTGCATGTATCTCTGTCAGTTGTTCTGGCATCTCCAGTAGTTTGTTGCTTTTCCGTCTTCTCTGTCTTCTTTTCAAATGCAAAATGACTCGTACAGTGTCGCCACCTTGTGGACAAATGAAATTCCAGTCTTTTCAGTAGGAATCTATGCAATCCAGAATTTCATGTGAGGGTGAATAATTTCGCAACGGGTTCATTCGGTCATGCAAATTCACCATGTTGGTTTCTGGTTGAGCTACACTGCTGATAGCAAAAAATTTTAACTTTTTTGTTCGCTAAATGTTTAATCTTCAATTTAGACGCGAATGCATACAGCTGAACGCACAACCATACAAAGTATAATCCATTTGTTAGTGTGCACAAATACAGGTGCTTGACACGTGCACTTTAAAGAATTCATCGTTGTCCAGTTTTTGTGCTATTTCTCTCCAGAAGTTATAAGCGATAAAATATCTCCGTACTATTTTAAACTAGGGTTGCGTGTATCTCTTACCTGTCTCAAAGGCGTTGATTTTTGTTGCGTGTCCAGTAACTTGTTGTTGTTCCATCTCTTCCGTCTCTGTCAACTGTGAAACAACAATCCGGACAGTGGCGCCACCTTGTGGACAAACTAATTGATGTAAAAAAAATTCAAGGCGCATGCTCAAGATGAGCGTACTAAGTAAGCGTGGTTAGAAGAAATCTGGATGTGCATGTACAGGAGTACTATGCTGATGATGAAATGTATTTAATGCAGTCCAGTAACTTGTTGTTGTTCCATCTCTTCCGTCTCTGTCAACTGTGAAACAACAATCCGGACAGTGGCGCCACCTTGTGGACAAACTAATTGATGTAAAAAAAATTCAAGGCGCATGCTCAAGATGAGCGTACTAAGTAAGCGTGGTATGTACTATGCTGATGATGAAATGTATTTAATGCACCCTGTATGCAAAAAACAAAGTATACTTTGGGTTTAGTAGTATTGGTTGGGTCAGGAGACCAATTGGACTAAATGTCGTCTTGTTCAGGCCATTTTTTTACTTGCTAAACCTATGAGAGAATACACAGGTTGCAGGAAAAATATGGTGACATTTAATGTTGTTTTCACAATTTTCAGACGAAATCTAGTAGTTTCAGTAGGAATTTGGGTTCATTTGATCATGCAAATTTGCCAGGTTGTTTGCCACATTACGGTTGCAGGAAAAATATGGTGACATTTAATGTTGTTTTCACAATTTTCACAGATGAAATCTAGTAGTTTCAGTAGGAATTTGGGTTCATTTGATCATGCAAATTTGCCAGGTTGTTTGCCACATTATGCTGATTTAATAACCAATATTACTCCATAGTTTATCACAGTTTAACAGGATATTGTGGCACTAACGGTACTAAGGTCATGTATTCACTAAACTCATTCTCAGGGTAAAAAATGTGTGAAAAATGCTTTGGATAAGTGTCTGCCAAATGCATACATGTAAATGTTTATCTCAGTAACTATTTTTGTATGTGTCCTCTGATCTGGTCGTTTCTTATATTACACCACAGTTATCACATTGCTGATAGTTGCTGATAAGTGATTCAAATATTTGGTTGCGAGCCCAGATATTTGACCTTAGTGTTACACCACCAGAGATGGTTACTTGCTTTATACAGATTTTTTTAATGTTTTGATGACGCTTTTTTCTCAGCTAAAAAAGATAAAATACACACACATATCCTGTGTATGTGTATGTTATTGCTAAATTGTGTGTATATTATATATGCAATATTATAGATTAATTAAATTAAATTAATTGCATATAATTATTAAATATTTTTTATACTGCATAGCATATATGATCATTTTCCCATTTTCCACCAAGTCACTGAACTGGTTTTTGCTACTGTACCTTTTATATAATATAATATAATATAATATAATATAATATAATGTAATAATAATATAATATTATTTAATATTTATTCTGTATTACAACAGTATTTTTATTTGTTATTAAATTGTGATTAATTAATGATTAATTATGTATAACATGAATTAATTCTATAATTGTATATATTAATACATTACGTTAATTACATAGTTATTTTTAGTTATTTATTAGATATTAATATTTAAATAATTTTATACAAATTTCTATACTGCATATTTCTATTGCATATTAAATGCAATATTTATGGCCATTTTCCACCCTCTCACTGAACCTAAGAATTAAAAAGGCTATTTTTGCAGTTGTACATTTTCTAAAATATTATATATGTGTGTGTGTGTGTGTGTGTCTGATTGTGTATCTGTGTGTGTGTATGTAATGACTATTTTCTATACTCTCACTGAACCTAAAAATGAAAGTATTTTCTTGCCACTGTACCTTTAAAACGTTGCCTCTGCTCTGATTGGCTGAACTCTGAATGCTGAATAGATGTTGATATGTGTATGTATGCAGTCATAACGTTCTCATGTTTCCAATGTCAATACATTATGAGTCTGAGATGTTTTTGCAGCTTCATTTCAGTATTTGATCTGGATGGACTGGACTTTGTCTTTGTCCGTATAGTCTTTGATTTGAAAAGCGCAGGGAATGTCCTGTTCTTCTGTATGCATGGACAGTTTTTCGGTTTGATCCTCTTTTGCCATCTCTCTCTGTCCATCTGAATAACACCCTCAGCGTGTGTGGATGTGGTGAGACTCACCGACAGAAATAGGCAGTGCTGTTCATGTCGCAGGGCCAGAGAGCAGAGGTTAATGAACACGCTGGTTATTTATAGAGGCACTAATTAGCTGCTCTCTCTGTCTCTGCTTCCTGTGGCTGATCAGGATGGAGGACTATTACAGTCTGTCTGCCCTGCGCTCGCATTACTACCCGCATCCAGAGGGGGCAACCCTGCCGGCCCTCCACCCGTCTGCTGTGCACCTGCCCATGCCCGGTGTCTTTTACCCTCCTGACATCACACACCAGTCGCTGTCAGCCCTGCACTCCGAGAGGTACATCAACACACGCACACACACGCACACACACACACACATGCACACACACACGCACGTGCACATGCACGCGTACACACACGCAAACACATGCGCACACACACACACACACACATGCGCACACACACGCACACACACGCACACACACGCACACACACGCACACACATGCACACACACGCACACACATGCACACACACGGACAAGATGGAATGACTAGTTATAGTATTGCTAGTAAATTACAGAGAATTGCAAACAGTTACTGAGAAACAGCATGTAACACATTGTTAATTAAATGAATTAAACATGAAATGCTGAAGTATAAGAACTGAAATGGTATTTTCTTGTAATGTAAAACATTATAACAATCTCAAAAAAATTTTTTTTACAGTGTACTCTGTTTATGCATTGTTTTGTAGATAATTTAGTTTAATTTAACATTTCTTTTCATCTTTTAAATGTTTAATATTTTATGCAGTATACTTATTTATATTTTTATATATTTATTATATTTATATAATATTTGATAACATGTAGACATTCAAATTCAAAATTTATTTTAATATCAATGAATTTAATATTTTGAATAATTTATTACTTTGTCAAATATTCAATATATTTTATTTTATTTAGATTAATCTATATTATATGTAGACTACTTCAATTAAATTAATAATTAAATCAGCTGTTTCTGCTGCTGTACCTTTTATGATACATATAATTCCATATTTATATAGAATTTAGATTTTTATCATTTATATCAGTGTTTTTTATTTTTACATTATGCGATTAATTTTAAGAGTATTATAATGATAAATAATAATTATTAAATTATAATTAATGATATTAAATGATATAATTATATATTTCTAATTAGAATATGATAACTTCATAGATTCAATTTAATTTATTAAATGCAATTATTAAATATGTAATTCATTGTAATCATTTTATGTGTCTATTCATACTACACGTTATGGTTGTACATGGTTTTCTCCAACTGATTACTGACTCCTGACTTTTTGTAAATAACTTTATTATCTATTTACTTCATTTTTTTATTAAATTACATTTCTAAATATTACTTTTTATATATTAATATATTCATTTAATTGTATTAATTAAACAAAAAATTAATGTAAAATACAGTAATTGTTATTAGCAATACCATCTTAGGCTAATTTACCAGTTTGGTTTTAGTTTTTGTCTTGTTTCTTCGTCAGAGGGTTAAAAGTTTGACGATATCAAATCATATAAAAACTGACTTTGTAATATTGATTGTTCATTTCTCTTTGTACCTATTATCAGTTTTTCCATCTACAATGAATATTACTATTAACCTGCTATCTTTCTCCTTCCTATATTCAAAACTTTAACCATGTTTTTACCAAAAACGTCACCGCAATTTGTTTACTGCCTCTCAGGCGCTCATACTTTCTTCAGTAAATGCAAATCCAGTTTTACATGCTGCATTATATATGCACATCACATGATCTTCACTGCTGCTCTCCTATTAGCAGTTACCACGTCACAACGATGCTCAGCGTTAAACTCTACTCAGTGATTCTTTGAGTGGTAATTATGTGTGTAAATACGATCATTCCGAAGCGGACATCATCAACACTGTCCCGTGTTCCCGCGGCCTCTCGCTGAGTGTATTCCTCTGGTTCCTGTCGAGAGTGTTGCATCTCACACCATTCGTGTGCGTGTGTGTGTTTCGACCCTCCGCAGGCTGCAGATGGAAGAGGAGCTTCGCCAGCAGCAGAGGGAGCGAATGCGTGAAATCGAACGAGAGCGGCAGTGGGAGCAGGAGGTGCAGAGAGAGAAAGACCGAGAGCGAGAGAAGCAACGAGAGCTGGAGATGACAAAAGAGCGAGGCAGAGACATCCAGGCGGTCAAGGCCGTGGAGAAACGCCACCTGAGCCACGAGCCGCCGGCCAACACACACTCGATCTCTCAGCCTCATCCGTACACACACCGGCAGCCCGCGAAGGAGCGAGGCAAGCTGGAGGAGAGACTCGCTGCTAACAGAGCCGGTATGAGAGAGAGAGATCCAAACACACAGTGAAACAAGCAATATTAACATTGTTCTTCTGGAATACACAAAAGAAGATACTTTGAAGAATGTTCCTGCTGTTACAATGGAAGTCAATGGGGTCCAAAAGTTTCAAGCTCCAAAAAGCACATAAAAGTAGTTAACCTGAATCAATTTGTGTGAGGAACAGACTGAAATATAAGCTATGCACAAATAAAATATAATAGTATTTTGGCTATTATTATAATAAATCAATATTCAAATGATAGTATAATGGAAAATATACACTGCTGTTAAACGTTTGGAATTATTGGGAATTTAAAAAATATATATTTTTGAAAGAAGTCTCTTCTGCTCACCAAAGCTGCATTTGTTTAATAAAACAATACTAAAAACATAATACTGTGAAATATTATTGTATTTGTTAGATCATTTAGATTAATTTTATAACATTTATTTTAATCATTTAAATGTAGAACACTTTATGCAGTATACTTATTTATGTTTATTATATTTTATATATTTCATTTATATTTATATACAATTATATTAATATTAATTCATTTGATATTTAAATGTATTATTTTTTCAGATATTAAATATATTTTATTATTTTATTTTGATTAATCTATATGTAGACTTCTTCAATTAAATTAATTAATTAATTAAACTGCTGCTGTACCTTTTATAATATGTAATGCAGATAATCATTCTATATTTATATATAATTTCGATTTTATAATCTATATTTATACCAGTGTTTTTTTTTAATTAAGTGATTAATTTTAAGAATATTATAATGATATATAATAATTATTAAATTATATATTTAATCATATTATTTTTATGTAGATTAAATTAAATGTATTACATACAATTATTACATATATTTAATTAATTAAATTATTTTATGCGTCTGTTCATACTACACATGTAATGGATGTCCAGGATACAACTAAATCTAGAATTATAATCTATATTTATATCAGTGTTTTTTATTAACTAAATACAGTAATACTGTGAAATGTTATTGCATTTTAAATTAAATGTTTTCTATTGTAATATATTTTAAAATGTAATTTATTTCTCTGATCAAAGCTGAATTTTCAGCATCATTACTCCAGGCTTCAGTGTCACATGATCCTTCAGAAATAATTCTAATATAAAACATTCATTTATTTTATTTTATTGCATTTATTTTATTAATTGGTTAAATTATTTTTATCCATTTAATATCATGATGCAATAGATCTGTTTTAAGACATCATTCACATTATTTACTTCTGAACATAAGTTACTTATTGCACATTTCATGCAGCTGGTTTCATGAATATTCAACATTTAAATTATGATTGACGTTCATAATTCCTGTTTAATTTCTCTGAACTCGTATTACCTGCAGCTTCAGTAACTGATTGCGTCGCTCATCTCTAATCAGTAATTAATATAGTCTGATGAATCATCTATCAGCCTATTTTCCTGCATCTGGATGGGTCTGTGTTTGGAGAGACCCAAAGGATGGCAGCTGTTAATCATGGTTTGGCTGCCGTCTCAGTGAAGTCAGAAGGTCTGATGGTTGCTCTCCATGATTTTATAATAGCAGATGAATGAGAGCATTCAGGTGAATCCCATGATTCATGATGAAAACACCCTCATGCACACACAAAAACTGCTTTAAATGGTTTGAGGATCCACTCAGATGGATTCATTCAGTTCAGAAAACTGTTGAAACTAAAACTGTTAAAAGTAGATTTAGTCAATTGAGAGATTGGGAATAAAACAAAATATACATTTTAATTGGAGAGAAAAGCCTAAATGTACAAAAAAAAACACTTTAGAAATTAGAAATGTTAAGCCGAAGTAATAATAGAAAATAGAATAAATAGAAATGATTGAATAGAATTTAAATAGAAATATGTAAAAATGCACTGATGAGAAAAAAACGTGAAAAATTGAAACAAAAACTGATAAAAATGACAGTTAGAAATATTGCTTTGGTAACGGAAATAAATATATTTAAGTTGAAGTAAACTAAAACTGTAATAAATAAAATAAATAAAGCTAAAGAGAAATATAGTTTAGAAAATTAGTAAAAATGCATTTAACAAAATTACTCAAATTTACACAAAAAAAAAATAAATAAAAAGAAATTGGAAATGTTGCCTTGGCAACTAATTGAAATAAGTTTAATTTGAAATATTGAAATGACTAAAAAGGAAATAAAAATAAATTAAAGCTACATAAAATAACATTACAAAAAAATTGTAATATAAAAAAAAATAATAACGACAAAAGCACATAAAATTACTAGAACATTAACTAAAATTAAACTGAAAATATAAAAATGAATGCTTTTAGTAAGTACTACAATAGTATATAAATAATACTTTAGTACTGAAGACAAACGGTGTTACTTCATAACAATGTATGCTATTTTGGTCCTTCTAGTATATTTACTACATATTAATAAACATTTGCAGTTGTTCCGCTTTGAGAAGCACATGTTTATTCATCTATGCATCTGTCATCTCTGGATACAGACAAAACCAAAGAAACACCGCTGTTCACGCCTCAGTCCGGTCCATACTCATCCTCAGGAGGTCCTTCATCCATCTCAACCTCAGGCCCCGGCCTCTCTTCAAGCGTGCACTTTGGGAAGAGCAAGCGGCCCACGGTGTCTCCCATGATGCTCCAGCGGCAGGAGGAGGACAGATGGCTCGGCAGACAGAGAGTGCTGAAGGTGGAGAGAGCGGACAGACACGGCCAGGAGTTTCAGCAGCAGGAACCAGCAGATCAGAGAGAGATTCACAGGTCAGTGTTAAAGGAAAACTCCAGCCAAACATCAAATCACATCTTTTATGATGATATGATGATAATATAGCAGTTGTTGTTGGAATAACCCTAAAATTCAACATATGAAGGCAAAACTGCATGTTTTTCTTGAATATCAGTGCAAATGCACTGATTAAATTATTTACAAATTCAACAAATTAATATTGTGAGTTATATTTTGTTTAATATAACATATAATAATAATATGTTTAATGCCTGAATGAATCAGTGTTTTGAATGAATCAATGATTCAATGATCCATTCATAAAAACCGCTCTGTTCCTGAATGAATCAACTGTTTGAACGAATCGGTTGAATAAATGACTCAATGACTCGCTCATTTAGACAGTGACTTGCCGTCATCTACCGCCAGTTTTAGTTTCGTATTTAAATATATTTATATTTATTTAATGTATTTCTGTTTATTTTTGTATTATTTTATTTGTCAGACAGAGGTCTGAAGGCAGAGAATTTGTTTCATTTTATATATTTAATTTAACTATTTAATTTAACAGATTATTCCAGGTTTAAATTGATACTTATGTATCACATTTAAAATATAAACTCTAAGATAATTTGAAAATTCACAATAATTCAAATTTTTAAATAATAATAATTTTTACAATATTAATCTCACAGCATTATTTATGCAATTGTAATTACAGTGTAAATACATCTGAATATGATGGAAAAATGGATTTTGTTTATATGATTTTATTTGATTGATCTATAGTGTTTTATTGTTCCAAATCAATGCATTGAATAAATGTAAATAAAATTGACAAAAGATAATGGATACATCTAAAAAGAGTAGAAAAATTGTAAATAAAGGTAAATAAGCTGTAAATAACCTCATAAATGTAAAATGTCCATTTTAAGGTGCGAAAACATTTTTGCCCTTTTAAAGGTAAAAATACAGTTTGAAAGTCGATTTAAGGTGGCAAAAATATTGCCCTTATAAAGGTAAAAATCCCACTTGAAAGTCAATTTAAGGTGGCAAAAATTGCCCTTATAAAGTAAAAAAATACATGTTAAAAAGTAAATTTAATGTGGCAAAAAAATGGCCTTTATAAAGGTAAAAATGTCACTTTGAAATCGATTTAAGTTGGAGAAAAATTGCCCTTATCCACCTTTTTCTTCCCATAAGAGCAAGCGCGCCCATTTGTAAATTTTATGGGTTTATCCGGTCTCATCTGTGTCCAGCTATTTTTAGCTGTACAAAACTCGTTTTGCTACTTGATATTGCAAATTGGTGTGTCTTGCCACATTATTTTATTATATTATCTTAATTATGAACACACTGGTTTGTAGTGCAAACAGTTTTACCATTTACTGCACTTTGTTATTCTTCTCGTTATTTCTCTATAGTGGCTAATGAACCAGAAGTCTCACCCATAGGCTTACTTCTGCGTTAAAGAATAAGGTGGATCAAGGTAAAAATGCCACTTAAAAGTCAGTTTATGGGGACATACAGTATATTGCCTCATAGTGTAAAAGTACTGTGAAGTGAATATTGTACAGAAAATGAAGACTATGAAAAGCTTTGGAAGTCAACTCATCTGTCCATGACAGGCTTAAACCCGCCAATGTACCAGCCCAAAAACACACTCAGCAAAATAACGTCTATTTATGGTCACTGAAGAAATCCCAGAAAATATCCAGATATGATTTTTGACAGTATGGCACACCCCATCTCTTCCTGTCGTGTGTGATGACACTGCCTCCTAGTGGTGCTCTGTAGAAATGTTCTGTGTGTTTCAGGTTTGGCGCGGGTGTCAGAGACATACCTCCACCTCTGGGAGCTCCGCCGCCTCTCATCACCCCCAAACCTCTTCCTCGGGACCAGCACCCCTCTCCTCCTGCACCCAGCAGCCTGTGGAACCCCGTCTCCTTCCTCCGCTCGCCCTCCGACCGCCCTCTGTCCCACATCCACCCTTACTCAGGCCACAGCAGACCAAAGCCTCCAGAGGAGGACGTCAGGCGGGTCAGCGGCCTGAGCCAGCAGAGGCCCGCCTTCTCCCAGTCAGACAGCAGGCCACCCCAGGGGCCGGTTCTGGACAGGACAGACCCCAGGATGGTGTACGACCAGGCTCTACAGCAGCACAGGAGACTCGTCAGCAAGCTTGACCTGGAGGAGAAGAAACGCAGGGAAGCCAGAGAGAAAGGTACGCAGTAGAAAATAAGACTGTTAAACAAAACTTCAGCTTCTTCCTTAAGATGTCTATCAATTTATCTATCAGACCGAGTTCTGAAGGTGGAGAAAGTATAAATATTTATTTGTTTGTTTATCTCAGAGAGTTCTGAAGGTGAAGAAAGTATAAATATTTATTTATTTGTTTGTTTGTTTATCTATCTCAGAGAGTTCTGAAGGTGGATAAAGTATAAATATTTATTTGTTGTTTGTTTGTTTATCTCAGAGAGTTCTGAAGGTGGATAAAGTATAAATATTTATTTGTTGTTTGTTTGTTTATCTCAGAGAGTTCTGAAGGTGGAGAAAGTATAAATATTTATTTATTTGTTTGTTTGTTTATCTCAGAGTTCTGAAGGTGGAGAAAGTATAAATATTTATTTGTTTGTTTGTTTGTTTATCTCGGAGTTCTGAAGGTGGAGAAAGTATAAATATTTAATTGTTTGTTTGTTTATCTCAGAGAGTTCTGAAGGTGGAGAAAGTATAAATATTTATTTGTTTATGAGACAGAGTTCTAAAAATGAAGTAAAAATGTTTATTTATCTATCAGACAGAGTTCTGAAGGTGGAGAATAAATAAATATTTATTTACTTATTTATTTGCCAGAAATAGATTTCTGAAGATGGAGAATGTGTGTATTTATTTGTTTATTTATTTAATATGCTTAAAGCTTATTTATATATATATAACATTTTATATATTATAAAATATAATATATAAAGATTTGCTGAAAAGTTGTATAAAAGGTAGCAAAAAATAGTGGTTTATTATGCGATTATATTTAGAAATTCAAAATACCATATCAGTTATTTTGGCCAGTATTATAGATTTTCTTTTTTTTCTATATAATTTATTTAACTTTTTAATGTATTTAGTTTTTTTAATATATTATAAAATATATACATTTATAAATGTTTTATTTATATATTTTGTTTATATTTAAGTTTTTATATTTAAATTATTTAAGTATTCAATTAAAAAGCAGATGTCAAAATTATATCTGATGCCAAAAAAACATAATTTTTTTTTGTTATAGCTGATATTAAAATATGATAATATTTTGAATTAAATTTAAGCATCACAATATTTTACTGTACAGAAAGACAAGTCAATATTCATTTTAAGATTAGCTAAAGCTTACGTGTAACAACAGTGTTATTAAATTATTAGTTATTTTAAAGATAAGCATTAGATGATGGCAAACGTCATCTAATATAAGTACGGAGGAAATATCTAGTAGTAACCGATATATATCTGCTCTGTACTCAAATGTATTCCTCCATCCATCCGTATCGTGTCTTTCAGTTGTTTTGTAATAATCTTCAGGTTATTACTATGAATTAGACGACTCTTATGATGAGAGCGATGAGGAGGAAGTTCGAGCTCATCTGAGAAGAGTCACTCAGCAGCCTCCTCTCAAACTGGACGCGTCTACAGAGGTACAGTCACACATTTCATCAGTCAATGACAGCAGCAGCGAACACTACTGAATGAGCAGCTACTGTCATACTAGGAACCCCAATACTCAGATACTCCCTCACAGTCACTGTGTCTCTCTCTCTGCAGAAGACAGAGTTTCTGTGTTTGTTTGGACTGACGACGCTCTCTAAGCGCGATGAGCTGCTGGAGATGAAGAAGAGGAAGAGGAGGATGATGCTGCAGGAGCGAGTCCCTTCACCCTCAGTGGTGCCGAATAAACGCAAGACTCCGTCTCCTCCTCATCCTCCGCTCAGCACATGCTTCACCCCGGAGGAGATGGACCGCACGGAGGAACTGGACGACAAGAAACACTTCCTCAGCATCTTCAGCCTCAGCCATGTCAGTCAGGAAGAAAGACAAGGTACGTACACACACACACACACACACACACACACCGAATACTGTCACAGTCACACTACCAGTGCTGAAGAGGCTGGAGAACTATACCTAATAATTATCGAATCATTTAAACTTAAATATAAATAATATAAAAATTATTTTATGTAAAATTTTAATCATAATAATATAAAATACATACATTAATAAATACATTTCTTCTTATTAAATATTATTAAATATAAATATTTTTATAATTATATAATATGTAATGTATTATTAATTTAAATGTTAATTTTCATTAATTTATATATGTATATATAGATTTTCCGGGGGGGATTTCCCCCCCTCTGGTCTATGCATCCCTGCCTCTGTTGAATTATTTTTATCCCCGGTGTGGGCACGTGCTGGAGATTTACTACTAATCACCAGAAGCGGCTTTACTGATGAGATTCGCATGAAAATCGCATTCGATTTTTTGCCCAGCCCTAATATACATATATATATTCAGAATATTTATTTTGATAATTTAAAAAAGTAAAATACCACATTTTATAAAATGTATTATTATTATACGATTTTTAAAATTATTATTACGATTATAAATAAATATAAGAAATGTAAATTAAAATTGTAAACAAAATGTGTGTGTGTGAATATAATGTTTTTATAAACATCTATATATAATTGGAGCGCTTCGAAACAGTGAATCATTTTGCGACGCAATGGTTGATTTGGAGTTTCAAAAAGCTCCGTTGTGTTCTTTGCTCGCTTTCTTTATATAATTTATTCGTTGCTTGAATAACCGTGGAAATTAAATCATTACAATTAATAGGCCTAACCTACAATGTTTTTATTAAACTGTGATCATGTTAAATACAGTTTCCGTCGTAATAAATATACACATTTTAATTAATATATATATATATAATTTTGAATATTTATAACTTTCAGTATCTTACGGAACATGCAGGAACTCCTGGGATTACAACTTGAGTAATTTTTTTAAACTAAAATTAATAATAAACTAAAAATTAAAACTATTTGCTATATTGAATAAGATATTTCACAAGAATAATTTTGATTATTCAGATTTGTTTTAAAGTCTAAGTGCATCACAATTTGACAAATACAGTGTGGTGCATTTAATTATTTCTTCTTTTATTTTACGTCAGAGAATAAGAAGATCGTGGACTTGCTGGAAGCCATCAAACAAAAGACTGTTACTCTGGACACCCTCAGAAACGCCACAGATACGCCCTGTTCCAGCCCGGCCGCTTCAGTGTCTGGTAAGAACAACACATTCAGATACAGCTTTAAACAAAGGATTGAGTTTTGTTGTTAAGATCTTTGCAAAGTCCGAAATTCTCATCCGAAATTTTCTCACGTTAAAAAATAAATACGTCCTCATGTTGTGTCAATCACACCTCAGAAACTTTAGTCCGTCATAAAAAAAAAAAAATCGGACCAGGTTCGATTTTCTGCGTTTTCGCATCCGTAGCAAGCATTTTGATAGGAAAGGATGACGAATATGATAAAACTGAAGAAAAAAAAAAACGCATACGAAAATTTCGGACTCAGTGTGCAAGGACCTTTAGTCCTAATCTCTGCTTTCTCCCATCATACAGCTGTCCCGCATCTCAATCAGTCAGTCAGTAATGTTCACCCTGAACCCCAAAATCACTCGCACGAAAACCATCACCCGCCTCTAGACCCGCCGCCACTGGCTCCTCTCCACGCTCAAGGCCAACCCAACCTGACGTCCCCGAGCAGACGAGGCCGGAGCCTGCAGGCCAGCGCTCTGCAGCCCCTCGCCCGACCCAAAGACCCGCCTCCGAAACTCCCCATCTGGGAGCGAATAAACTCTGAGGAGTTCGCACAGCACTTCCACCAGTCCGTGCTGCAGTCCACTCAAATATCCCAGCAGACACAGAAAGGTGACGATGGCTCCCTCTACAGTCAAATTTGAGAAATACAACCAGAGACATTTTGCTTAATGTTTTTTGCATTTGTATCCCAACAGGTGGAGCGAGTGAGCAATTTGAGCCTCCTGCGCTTCCCCCTCCAGGCCTCCAGAGGGCGGTAAACAGACTCCCGAATGGACAGAGCAATGGCCACTCCTGCCATATATCAGCCCAACGCGAGTCTCCGGGCGTGAGGAATGACTTCTCAGCCGAGGAGGGCGTCAGTTCGGATGAAGACGAGGAAGAGGAGTCGTTCGGTCCCAGGTGGAGAGGGATTGAATCGATATTTGAGGCGTACGAGGAGTACATGGAGGGTACGTTGATGGATTCGAATGGAGAGTAAACAGTAGCTGCGTTTACATGGACCCTACTAATCCGATCGTAATAGGACTAGAAGCATGATCAGAATAAAAAAGTCACATGTAAACACATCAATCGGATTGAATTGGCCAGATCTGACTAAAATTTCGATCGGATTGTAAGGGGTGGTTTATTCCTTTTGTAATCCGAGCAAGAGGACATGTAAACACTTGATCGGATTGAAAACCGAAACTGAAAAGTACTGCGCATGCGCAGTGACGTAAAAATAGCGTAATGACGTATGACGTTCTTCCTGGTGAATAAAGTGTCATAAATGAGTGTCCCGTCATTATAAAACTCCCCTTTCACTCAGCATCTGTGAAGTGGAGCAGCACAGCGTCCCACCAGTCCTTGTTTAAGACTCATCAACAGACGACTGGTTTTGGGTGCGGGAAGGGGCTCTTTTACTGCTTTATAAAGTAAGCAGCACAGCACAACAGTTCATGTGCTGGTCGTCGCCTAATTAGGACCCGAAGTAGATAAATATCACGTGTGCTTTTTAAAACAGTATGTGACATCAGCGCGAAACTCTGTATATTCATGCAGTGTGCGCATGTCAAAAGATTAAATCCGATCAGAAGCTTGTGACATATAAACATGCATATCAACCCGATCACTTTATTTAGCGTTCATGTAAACACTACGTTCGGATTCGTCAGTCAGAAGGAATTCATTCTGATGGAAGCAAAAAGTGTCCATGTAAACGTACCTAGTGTGTCACTTTCAAACCAAGCAGCTTTTTGTTGGCCAAAGCAGCAAATTTGCCTGAGCAGCTTAAACCTGTTGCGAATCTGTTAGGAAACTTTTCGCCCTTGCGCAAAATTGCACGAATTTCTTGATTTCGTCCTTGAAAATTTGGCAAATAATGGTAAACGCACTTTGAATTTTCTGTGGTTGCGGAATATTGGCTTTTTGGAGTGTATGTTTGCATTCTGCTGTATGATTATAGTGTATTGCTCACCTGTCTCTCTCTCTCTTTCCTGTCTGTCTGTCTTTCAGAGAAAAGTATCGAGCAGCAGGTTCTCCAGAGCGAGTGTATACGTCTGGAGACGCAGCATTACAATCTCACTCTCACAGCCGAACAGCTTTCTCATAGCATGAGGGTAAGAATATATTCTATTTGTATTTGCATATTATTTTATTTTCTATTGTTTTATTTCTTTTAAAGATTATTATATTTGTATGTTTCATCGTTTATTATTTTTACACTGAAAAGGTTAGTAAGCATTTCTTCACACACATTGTTTACATCTTGTGGCTGTTCCATTGAGCATTTTAATGGTTTTAAATTGTCTTCCATTGTATAGATTTGGCGTTGGGCATTGTGTGTGTGCACTGGTTTGAGTGGTTTATGAGGACACAAATTTGTATAATGACATGGGTATGACATAGGTATTACAATGTGAAAGTGAAGTGATTTATAAGGAAACTTTCTGTGTCCCAGTAATTCAATATATATATATATATAGAGAGAGAGAGAGAGATAGATATATATATATAGCGATAGATAGATAGATAGATAGATATGTACGTGTATATATATAATTTTATTAGATTTATATTTGATGTATTCATTATTATATAATTTATAATATTAACAACATTCAGCATCTTTCTGAATATTTGCTCATTTATAAAAAATGTTAAATGCTGTGCAGGAACATGTGAAACAACTTGAGTATTGATTTAAATTAAAATAAAAAAAATGCTTTACTACAAATGATTTGTCCTCATCATAGTTTTTTACACATATATTAAATCAAACATCTGAAAATAAAGCAAAACAACCGAGAACAAAAAGTAGCAAAATGGTCCTCACATGACATGTTCGTTATTTACAGCAATATCTGACTTTATAATTAAATCTCAAACTTAGCCGAAGTTGTCATGATTAACGACATTTCTATAAAGTTGAACGACTGACTGCGACAAAGTTACTACTGTTTTTAGAAACAATCATAATTAGCTACTTAAAGCTGCAGTCCGTAACTTTTTTTGGTTAAAAATTAAGTACATAACCAGCCAGTAGTCAAAACTATCGCCTTACTTTAGCCCGATTCACAACGGTTAGCTAATAATAATGTTTTCTAATTTGAGTGGTACGGGTAGGAATTCGCGGGAAATTCGAGCATGCTGTCGCGTCATTACGTCACGTCTGTAAACATAAAAAAGGCTTCCCGGCTAGTAAGCTATATCTGCAGGTGGCGGATCAGCCTTTTCTCACAGCAGCTGGAATAATTAAATGTATCATTTTGATGGCGGATTGTAATCCAGAAAGGATTATGTGTTTATGAAACACATGTGACTGAAATGAAATTATATTCCAGTTTTAAATGTGCTTCTGATTACAGATAGCCTACATGAGATTACACAAGTTTTTGTATTTTAAAGAGAACCAGTTCGAAGGACGAATAATTAGCTTTTTGGATTAAAATAATTTCCTTATATGAAATTCGAATGGTATGACAATTAGATATTAGACTGTATGTACATGTAACGCTATAATACACACTACGTAGACGCAATGCTGATGTTGTTAACATTAACAGTTTGAGAACAAAGTATAACAATAATAATAATTTGCATGGTTTAATGTGATATGAGCTAAGTGATCGTTAAGATTTCATCACAATTGGTAGCGCAATTTATTGTAATGCTTTTTTCCTCAGTTGGTCAGAACAAAAGTGGCAGACTTGTTACTCGTTCAGATGACAATATCCAGTGACAATTCTTATTTGGGTCATATATTCCAAGACGTAGGCTAGAATCTGTGATTCCTAAGTACAGTATCCACACATGCTCCTCAAAACATTAGATTCATCCGCGCTAAACGCACAACCCGCGCAAGGAAGATAATTCCGCAAACAGCTGCAATTGCAGATTTCAAACAGAGATGGCGACAAAGAGGCAAAACTGACGGACTGCAGCTTTAATTTCTCCAATGATCCGTCGTATTGTGGTTAAGCAGCCAGTTACTGTACTTCGTTGAACGGGAAACTTTGTTGACAATCACATTCACAGCAGCATTAGCTCCCCCTTGTGTCAGCTTTGAAATCTACCAATTGTCAATGGGTTATTTTGTGAACTTTGAGTAAATATTGTTTAAACAATGCATGTTTTCCAACTTTTCCCATAACTAGGACCTATTGGCACAGAAGCACAACCTGGCACTGAAGAGAGATCGTATGCAGGCTGAACTGGAGCACATCAAGGAATGTTTGACATTGCCATTATTACACTGGCACAGAGGACACTACAAGAGACCCTCACCGAGGTGACCTGAAGATGGACGACAGCACGAGCCACAGAGATCAACGCGGCCTCACATCTACTGAACGTGTGATGATTTCAGCTTTGGCATGAGGAAAATACACAAGCTATCAGTCATTATCTAGTGCAATATCTGACGCCTCACTGTGACCCACTGCTCTGCAAGTCCAACCACTAGATACAACAAAATAGGCATTCAACAGCCATCGAAATATCCATTACTTGACGTACAGACTAAATCTGACAGGACGTGTGCCAAGAGGTGCAGAAACCCAAGCCAGAGCTGGATATGATCTCTCATATATTTGGTGCAAAACTCTTCTACTGGATGATGAGCTGATGTGGAATTGAGTTTAAATGTTTTCATATTTATACAGTTTTTAAAGGAATATGATTGTGTCAGATACTGTCAAATCACATTTTTGTATGTTTTTATTCTTAATGATTCATTATAAAAAGGGACTGTAATTTGAAATATAAATATTTTAATGCTTTTTGCAGGGGAAAAAATGTGTCGATGAGGTACTGCTGGTCAGAAATGTTGGTGAAGGAAAAAATTAAGTGGGTTGAATTGAGTTTTCATTTCAAAATCTCTTCAAAGGCTTTAGTTTATTAATTGTAGTTGTCAGAAAGTCGTGAAAGTGTTTGTCTAGGACAGTGTTTCTATATGTTTTGTTATTCTCTCTTCGTCTCCCACCAAACCAAAATTTCAATGCCATATATATTATCCACCAGTACATGGCTATTTGAAAATAGACACTAAAATAAACCGATCCAGTGTGGGAATCACTTTATAATAACTTTTATTAATGACAAATGGCATATAATAGTTAACAGACCAGCAGTTCAATACCCAATGTAGGAAGTGCAATATTGAAATAATGGCAATTATGAAATAACAATACAATAATCAACTGCATATTATGTTTAATTTATAAGCTGAATTGATTTCTGAATCACTTTACTTCTAAGATGATTATGAAATGCCACTAATGGGCCTTATGAATTAACATTCTGTTAAACATTATATGCTTATTTAATACTGTCTGTTATGGACTTATTATAGTCATGAAAGTAATTATAAAGGATTACCCAAATGTTTTTATGTATAACTTGGCCAATGTGATTGAATTTTCAGCCTAGCTGTCATGAGAAGAGTCATTTTATATAGAAATTAGTGCCACACTGTTTTGTACAGCAGCAGCAATTGAAAAAAGACACCACATTGTTTTTGCTCTATTATTAATTATAATGTAAAACCGAACACATTTGATGTGTTGAATTTTAAAGAAATGTCCAATGCCACAAGTTGAGAAGTGTGTGTCTCAAGACGTCTATTCTCCACTTTTTCTTTATGACTCTTATTGCATACTGTTTAAACACGAATGGCTTATGGAAAAAAAAGAGGGGAAAAAAGGAAATCTGTAAAATGTTTTAGTTGTAATTTTTAGTGGAATGAAATGTGAGTTAATATATTATTTCTTGAAGGTAGAAATACTTATTTATGGATATATCTGTGTATATGCTGAGAAAAGAATAATGTTTGAAAAAAATAATTTCTTGCCATATTTTGTCTACAAAAACTCTCAAGTAATGGACATGATTCATTCACAAGAACATGATCTTCAGTTGTTTCTTGACTCTATATGATTTACAGTGCAGCAAAATAAACAACTTGATATATAAATTATCTCCAGTCTTTATAATATATATATATATATATTGCATGTATATTTTTTTACTGTATTTAACTTGCAGTCTGTTTGTGTTTGCTGTTGGCTATAAAGGTTACCAGGCTGTTTTCGGCAGTGTCGGTTCCTCCTGTCGTGCTTCACATTGTTCTGTTGAAGCTTGTACTACAGTTCATCCCCTGCAGCGTTTTTCATCACAATGCATCTTCTTCAGCATCGCGTGCATTCAGTCCCTCAGTCTTCCCAGACCTGAAGGCCACCTTTATCTTGTTCAGCAGGTCATTCAGGTCCTTTCTGATCCGCAGCTTGGAAACAATACACCGCCTGTGATGGGAATAATCAGTCTGTACAAGCGTTTGCAGAGATTTCCCCATAAAAAAAGTCAATTAACTTCACAAAAGAATTTTCTTGAATGTTTGGTCTGGTAAACTACTAGTTCACCCTGAAATTAATATATAATAACATTTTCTCACCCTTGTGTCATAGCTTGCTTTTTTCCATGAAGCACCAAAAGTGAATTTATGATGAGTCCTGTTAAAGTATCATAAAAGTGGCACATATGACTAATGAACTATTCTGAATCCATATGATAGTTTTGTGTTAAAAAACAGACCAAAACTTTAGCTATTAATCACTGAACATCCGCCCGAACCTACTTCATGTCGGATGAACAAACGAACAAATCATTCTTTGGACCCTGATCTTTTTTAAAATGCTATTCACACGTGATTCATTCAGGAATCAAATACATCCGGACTGAACTCAATGAACCAACTGCGACTTTTTTTTTTACTAAACAGTACAGACATCAAACCATTAAAACAATACAATTATAAACAAAGACAACATAAAAGAAAGAGAAAAATAGAAGATACATAGGCATACAGACTTGTTGCCAGGATAAAAAACTTAAACTTAATATAGCCCACAATTACATCTCAAGGACGAATATAAAGATACAGTTTTCAATGCTTTCAAGTGAACATATCTTTGGATAGTTTCCACTTGTCCAAGTCCACTTTGAATAAAGAAAAAAGAAGTTTAGAGCCAGCAAAATTTTGTTTGTGAATGTGAAATTTAGCCAACAACAAATACAAATTAATGATGTAATATTTCCCCATATTCTCTTTTGAGTATTCAAATAATCCAAAGAAAGCATCTTTAAAACACCAACTGAGACTTAACAGTCAAGAAAAACGTCTCGGGCTATGCATATAACCATGGTTCCCCGAGAGGGAACGAGATGCTTTGGGGAATGCAGCCTGCATGACCGGTGTCTGAAGCACGTGTGAAACAACGCCAATCTATTGGTCCACCTGGCCCATGACGTCATAGTTGTGCTCTTAACTTGGGTGGGACGTTCCCCTTGATCTAATCGGGTTCCCCATTTATGCCAAGTTGTGTGAGCGGCCCGTGGCGTCAGTGGCATGGCCGCTTTCTGAGGAAAGGCTTGGTGTATGTCTGTCGCTTCCTTGGTGCTCTCCCACCAGGTGGACAGGCATGTGCCTCGGCACAGCATGGTTGGATTTCGTTCCCCATTGTGCCCCGTAGGTCTCGGTCCCTCTCGGGGAACCATGGTTACATGCGTAACCCGAGACGTTCCCCTTCTAGGGAACTCCACGCTGCGCCCCCTCGCCATGCCTTCGACCTGCCTGTTTACATCTCCTTCAGACAGCTAAATGGATGACATAAGGGCCTTTCGCACCGCTTTAGTTCCAGTCACCCCACTCTTCTTGTCAGTCAGCTCGACTCACTCTCCTCACTGGAGAAATGAAATCTGAACTGTGATGCGACTGTCGTTCGGCACGCTGCATTGTGCAGCCGCGTTCCGTTTTTAATTGTAGTGTCTGTTCTTTTACTGAACTAAATGATTTTTATTACTATAAAAAATCAAAACGACGGTGGGGGTCGGTGCCGCGGTGGGCAAGTGACGTAACCGGTGTTGCGGCTTAACACCGGTATCACCGTCAGCACCGTCTATCGCGCCAAGCCTAACCTGAATCCGCCATTTTAAGCAATGAATGAATGACGGACTCTCCGTTGTAACATAGCGCAAGGCAAATAAGGGGGTGACATCTAGTGGATTAGACTAGTAATAAGATTAACGTAAATCTTGTTCAATGTTTGCGGAAATAAATATTGAAAAAAAAAAAAAATCGATTCGTGGCCTTCGAGAATCGATATTGAATCGACCACATTTTAAAAAACGATATATCGAAAAATCGATTTTTTTTTTGCCCAGCCCTCTATTTACTCATTCTTTTGAGTCGGATCTTTTCCAGCTGATCCAGTTCACAAGTGATTCACTGAACCGGGCTGATCCGGTTCTCGAGTTCATTCAGATTCCCGCTGAGATAAAAGACTAGCGCTGTTTAATATGATATTTCCTCAATTAATTGTGCAGTTGACAAATAACATTAACTTTGAAATCGGATTCATAGTTCTATACAAGTGAATATTTAGACGCTACTGGTCACCATTTTTGTCCACAAACTTAGGCAATGTTAACTGACTGCTTTCTCTTGTTAGACATCCTCACAGACCACAATATCTGTCGATTCTTCATTCGAAGCGCCTAACTTCTTGCGTTCCGTCTGCGCTATTTTTAGTTACTGGTAATGTACACATGCGTCAGACAGGCGTTTTTGAACGTTATGTAGCGTTTCACATTTGCTGCCGCGTCGCGCACCAATCGTGTCAGTTAAAAATAGCATAGTTAAAGCTTTAAAAAACGCGTCTCGACATCCTGGTGCTCATCTCACAGCGCCCCGTCCAGCTGTATTTCACACGAGACCGCGTCTTATGTGAACGCCTGCGTACCTGTTCAGAGAAGAGCTCAGGTAAACCGGACCACGTGACCCTGTATTCCCAGTACAGTGATTCTAGGCGATAGACTCAGTTTAACCTTCCGCGTTTACATGCAGCTGGTCAGCGAGACATGTCACCTCCAGTCTCTGTTTGAGTTTGTTAACTTAATCACACGAGCTGTTTTACTCGAATGAAAGGATTTAGGAGAGGGCTGCGATGTGGCGTTGTCTTTTGATTCTCTATCTGACATGTCTCGCGTTTACTCAGTCTGCGGGTAAGTCTCTATCTATCTATCTATCTATCTATCTATCTATCTATCTATCTATCTATCATCTTCTGGTGATATTTAAGGGAGCGCGGGCTAGTTGTCACCACTTTTACTATAGTGAATATTATTGTTTTTCAATTTCCGTGTAGACAAACTATAAAGCGTTTTCTACAAAATTGTGTTTTTATTTTTACGGCTATTGCCTCTGTAAAAAGATACGGTTCATTTAATAGCCTACATTGACCTTTTGTGGGACATGTTGTCACACACTGTGGATAAGTTGTGACAATGGAATCTGCCATTTATAGTTTTTTTTTAAGGGAAATTTAAAAGTGAAACAGACAAAAAATCCTGAAACAGTACAATACAAATGTACAAAAATCTCAAATATTGTAATGAATTTTAAGTGATTATTTAAAACATGTGACAACCCTGTTTGAACACTTGAAAACTCCTCTTTTAAGAACATGGTTCAGCCTTTATGTATCACGTTTCACATGTTTACATAACAAATATATGATGATGGCCTGATGACCCCTTACATTGAAGCTGTTTTTCCGGTTAATATTGTTCATCTCATCCATGCAAGCATTAATTTAGTACCTTGTTTGTCTACCAGGATAAAACCCTCTCAACCTGTAATGGGAACTTTGTACCTGGTAACTGCCTGTTTAGCTCAGCTGCTCCTGATTAATGATTGAATGAAGTTACTTGCTGCAGTGCAGAACAATGATCTTACATAAATATTACACAGTGAAAAGATCTGGTGCAATAGTGACTATTCAGTGCTGACAGATCAAAGATATTAAAAATAGTTGTAATTACCCTTAAACAGTTGTGACTAGTGTTATAACCCATGGGATAGGTTATATAGTAATACTGTAAAATCCTATCAAATGCATTCATACAGCATAAAGCATTTGTCAAACCTGTTGTCATGATGATACACATATCGCTCTTCCGCCTATATGAGCTTTCACATGTTGCCATTTTTTGCATATGTAAAGCATCTGTGATCCATCATGTGACTGACCTACATTGGTAAAAGGGGCCGTAAAGTGAGCAATGCAGTGTAAACTTGTTCTGGAACAAGAGTATGTTCTGCTTTGGTCAATATTTGCTTTCATAACATTGTTTTCCTTCTTCTGCCAGTCTTTTCCTGCCTATGAATCCTTGGTATTGACATTATTAGTTTAGCTGACATATTTGTCCAAAGGCACTTACAATACACTATTTTCTAGATATTAATTGATCACTATGTTCATTGCCTGGGAATTGAATCTTTGACATTCCCAGCACTGTGCTCTGCCAGTTGAGTTACAGGAAATACTTGCTATTGTTTCTTCCTACTTGCTTTGAATACATGCAAATTTAGTTCTGTACTTTCAGTTTCATGCTTGGATACTTTATATCTATCTGGATATCGAAGATATGAGCTGTTAAATGTCAGCTTTAAGAACTGGTTGAAGGTGTAAACATTTTATAATGGATATACAGTTAATCTGACTTTACATCATAGATTGCCCACTAAATCATGACTGAAAAACATGACTTTACACAAGTACGCAAATGCTGGGCTGGGATATTGCAAGCACACTCTACATACTTAACCTACTAAACCTAGTATACTAGAAAACTGGGATGCAGCACCGATAATCTTATGACCGATAACCGATAAATGAAAAATATTAAAATTCTATACTATTTTGTCTAAATGAATTTAAAATAAAACACATAAACTAAAATGTAAACTTGATAGTCATCACAGTATTATAATGTACATTATGAAAAAGGCACGGTCAATATATTATAGACAATGGACCTTTTTTGTCTGCAAAATTTCAGCGAAATTTCTGTAATGTGATCGCACATTAAATAGTTTTTCAATTATCTTAAAGTTATAAATTAAAGTTAAAATTAAAACTTTAATTAAACAGTAGATGATGGCAAAGGTATTCTAAATGTCAAGTGCGTACAATTACATACCTGATATTGACCAATACTGATAAAAAAATTTTTTTAAATTACCCAATTACTGATAACATACTGGATATTGTAAATCCATTCTACTAAACCTGAGGACTCAAGCGGCAAACTGTTGGCATTTTAGCCAAGGTATACTTCAGTTTTTACGCAAATGCTTAGCGATTACATAACACTAAACACCTAACCTTTCAAATTGTACTTATGGTTTAATAAAATAGTAGTAAATATATGTTTAATAGCGTGTGCAAACACAAGTGCTCAACACATGCACTAGATAGTTTCCTTGTTCAATGTTTGCGTTATTTCTCTTGCAATGTTATGAGCGATAAAAATACTTTGTACTCGTTGCATTTATCTCTGAACCCCGCCCCGCCCCCCAAAAACAAATAACACGGGTGTCTATTTTTGTTGTATCTCCAGTAGTTTGTTGTTGTTCGGCCTCTTCCTTTTCTTTTTCGACTGTGAAAAAAATGGCTTGGACCAGTGTCGCCATCTTGTGGACTAATTTATTAGCGACAAAAATTTCAAAGTGTTGTGTGAGCCACACAGAGTATGCATGGTTAGAAAAATCTAGCTTTGCCATGTACAGTACCCAAGTTCTATTCTGATGATGAAATTTACTTCATGCACTGTAGCGATACTCTAGTGTACACATAAAAATATAAGTAGGCCTACAGTATATGGTATAAGTATACTTTAAGGTTATATCTCAGCCCTACTGTTACATATGAATTCGAAATCACATTTGATCACGTGCTGCTCATCATTTATGCCACAGCTGACCTGTGGGGGTCACTGGATTTGTTATTAAACCGCTCATTAGGGTCTGGGCTATTTCTTCCCTCACTTCCCTTTTCCCTTTTCTTGGAAAGGTGTTTTCTATCACATCACATAGAAACAAATTAACAACTGTCTTACCTCAAATCCTCAGAGATCATGTGTACAGTGTTTGTCAAAGGTCAAACTGACTGTCCTGACCTGATTATCTTGCGTATGACCAATACAAGCAGTCCCAAAGTTTGTTGGTTGAAGGATTTATGGACCTACTTCCAAACTCTGCCCATATTGGAGTTTCCCAACCATGTTCCCGGGAATCTACATGTACAATATTTATGTTGGCAGTGATGTCTATTAATGGACTCTTTGATGGACACGTCACCAGCCAAGCTTTCAAATGAACCTTCATAATGAATGACCATTAAATTAACTTTTTATGAACCCATTTCCATTTTATAGCATAAAATACCATATCCATGTTGGCAGATGTAGAAATGTTTCTCAAACATGGAAATATGAAGCAGTGCTGATGAGAAACAGCCTCACCTGTGGGTTTCACTCATCTCTCCTGAGATTAGATATCCTCCACAAGACTCAAGCAAGGTTACGCCAAATAAAGAAGTCATTGTTTTTAGCTGAGCGCCATTCATGTGTGCACATCTACCTGTATAAAGAATCTAGCAGTTTACTTGGCACAGAGTGAAGTTTTATCCATTGTAACACACTGATACTCACTTATTTCTTGTCCCCCTCCACTCAAAACAAAGATCCGCTTTGTAGCAGCGTTCCAGAGTTCAAGCATGATCAAACTCAATCGGTTTCGGCGACGTTTGGCCACAGCGTGGTCCTCACCTGCACAGCCTCCATAGGTTTAAACCGCACCGATTCAGACTGCAAAGACCTCCTGGAGTGGATAAAAGATGGCACACCGCTTACCAACCTCACCTACTCTGAAAATGTAAAAGACTGGTGGGTATATGATACAATACAGTGCCAAATACTGAATACAGGCAGTGTATCGGTTGAAGAAATATTGAAGTGAAAACATATGAAAGAGATTTAGTAACTTTAGTGTGAAATTAATCACTATGGGTGTGTTCTAAATACTAGCGTACTGCATACTGTGCAGTAAACTATGGCAGCCTGGTTGCGTCAGAGAATAAAAATTTAAAAATTAAAAAAAGGTAATTGCGACTTTTTTCTCAGATTTCTAAGTTTATATCTTACAATTATTACTTTTTTGCAATTTTGAGAATTACAAAATATGAACACAGAATTGCAAGATATAAACTAGCAATTGCAAGAAAAAAAATCGGAATTGTAAGAAAAAGTCACAATTACATTTTTGTTTTTGCGATTTTTTTTTATTTCTGAATTGCGAGACAAACTCAAAAAAGTCAGATTTGCGATTTCATCATGCAATTTTGAGAACAAAAAAGTTTGAATTGCAAGATACAAAGTCAGAATTGTGAGATGTAAACTCAAGAAAGAAAAAAAGTCAGGATTCAGAGTTAATATCTCGCAATTTAAAGTTTTTGGGAGTTAAAAGTTAAAATTTCACAATTTTGAGTTTATTTCTCATAATTCTAGTTTATATCTCACAAATTTTTTCTTAGAATTGTGAGAAACAACGTCTGAATTGTAATATACTGTATAAAATCAAGCACTGCGAGGAAAAAAGTTTAGATTGTGAGATTGTTTTCTTCTCATTTATTTCAGCAGAAGGCACCCATGTTTGTTGGAAATTAAAAAAAATGGCTTGTTTTAAATTCATTTTTAACCAAATTTTCTGTAAAGGAGTTTCTTTTCGCCATTTAATTAAATAATCAGTGGTCCCACTTTATATATATATATTTTTTTATGTAACTACTATGTAGTTACATTTAAAATTAAGTACAACGTACTTATTGTGTTCATATTGCATTTGTGTGGTGTGATATGGGTAAAGTTAGGGACAGGTTTGGTGGTATGGGTAGGTTTAAGGGTGGGTTAAGGTGTGCGAGATGGATCAACAGTGTAATTACAAATGTAATTTCAGAAATTCATTACAGATGTAGGTATTTTTTTTAAGTCAAGCAGATTGCATTGTGGGACATACTGTATGCACCTAACAGTGTACTCTTGTTGTATATAGCATATTTTGGCATTGTACATCATCAGTTTTCTCTGAATGCATACAATTTGCATACTCTGTGTAGTACACTTTCTAGGGAAATACTATGAGTAGCATGCTAGTATGCTATTTTGAACACAGTCGATACTAATGCTTGAAAAATGTGCTTCATTTCAAAGCACAAATTAACTAGTTTAAGTCAAAATATTGTTCAATATTCCTCACTCTAATAAATGTAAACACTTGGCAGGTACCCTGATGAGGGTCACATCATTAAGAGCAGTGAATTAACACTGACCCTGACAGATCAGGCTGATTTTGGTGTGTATTTCTGCGTGGTGAGGAACAGCACAGCGCAATTCATCGTAAAGGAATACAGTAAGAAACAAATGATTTACTTTAGTCTTTTAATATCGCCTACTTCAATATTATACAATGCATTCTCATATTCTTCATCCATTTATCCTTACAAATGCTCTAAAATTTTAATATAAAGTGTAAATTATATTCAGATTCTTTCTGTGTACTTGAAAATAAGGTTTATCCCATCTTTTATGCACAGAATCCCCAAGTCACACCGGGGCAGTGGTGGCGTCAGTGGTCCTGCTGCTTGTGCTCGCTCTGGCAGCGGTGGTCTATTCCAAGTGCCGACTCAACTTTAAACTGTGGTATAGGAACATTTATGGAGAGTATGAGCTCAATGGTTAGTCTGCATTCTGTATGTTAAAGCCCTTTATCATCTGTGGTATCATATTGCATTTCATGATGATTTTTTGCTGTTTCTCAGATGGCAAAATGTGTGACGCCTACATCTCATATGTCAGCAATGAGAATGACAGGAAATTTGTCAACTTCATCTTGAAACCTCATTTGGAGAACAAGTACAGTCATAAACTGCTGCTCAACGACACAAACATCCTTCCTGGAGCTGGTAAATCTCACGAATGAAATCTTAAATAAACAGTGCATAATATACATGCATAAAGGTATATATTAAAGGGTTAGTTCACCCAAAAATGAACATTAGCCCACAAATTACTCACCCTCAAGTCATCCTAGATCTTTCAAGCTGTTTAATGCCACTCAGCGGGTGTTGCATGCATCAGTCCAAAAGAAGTTAAATAAAAAGCGCCCATCCGTTAAAAAAAGTGTCTCACACGGCTCCGGGAGGTGAACAAAGGGCTCCTGTAGCGAATCGATGCGTTTTTGTAAGAAAAATATCCATATTCAAAACGTAATAATCACTTTAATCTAGCTTGCACACACTGTTGTAAACAGAAGCAGTTCCGGGGGAATGACGTATGAGGTTGGCTTTGCGCATGCGCCGCTCAGAAGTGACGCACACGGAAACACAGCGGAGAGATCAAAACAAAACAGCGGTCACTTATTAGAAGTACAGAACGAGGATTTGTAAAGAAGAATGTCAGAGGATTTCGATATAAGCCAAGAGGAGACAGGTTTTCCTTTGCTAAAGTAAGGAAACTTTGCTTCCTTTGCTCCTGTTAACAAATGTTGGTTTGCACGAGACTCACCGGCGCATGCGCAACGCTGAACTCATATGTCATCAGCCCGGAACTGCTTCCGTGTAGGACTGTTGGCGCAAGCTACATATAAGTGATTATTACGTTTTGAATATGGATATTTTTCTTACAAAAACGCATCGATTCACTACAGGACGCCTTTGTTCACCCCCCAGAGCCGTGTGAGACACTTTTTTTTTAATGGAGGAGCGCTTTTTATTTAACTTCTTTTGGACTGATGCATGCAACACCCGCTGAGTGGCATTAAACAGCTTGAAAGATCAAAGAC